GTACGTAGACCGGGGACCCGATCGAGAGTTGAGTACCGATTTCGAGAAACGCCGAGGGAATATTTTGGGCCAATATGGGCCGATCTTAGGAAAATGACGGATTCAATGTAATCAATGACGTACGCTCGGACTACGGGTGATTCCGCACGACCGAAAGTTCGCTTGACGAACAAATCCCGAATTTAATCCGAACGATCGCGACCCCCGGCACTAGTGATAATTCCTCACGTTCTCCTGAAAATCGAGGCCATCACAATTCGGACAACCCTACGTCGATACGCGTAACCCCTAAACAGCCGCCCGTTAGTGAGAGACCCTAAAACTTCAAAACGAGCAAATTTGAACGCGAAATTGGACCCGAGCTTCGATGTCGAAATTTCGAGGACGTTTGCGAATATTTTGTAAGGCCGATGTCATTTTAGTGTGGCCACATATGTTTGGGGCTAGTACGGCTGAAAATTGGAATTTCGACAGAAATTGAAAAAATTTACAATTTTGCCCCTGGAGACTTCGGCAACCGTTTTTGAGACCAAATGAGATTATTTTTCGAGGCTGATGCCATTTTGGAGTGGCCACGCATATCTGGAGTGTGTACGGTCGAAAAATGGAATTTCAACCCCGGGGTGACAAATTACGGTTTTGGCCCTTCAAAACTTTCGGGCTGATTTTCGAGGGCTTAAAGGAGGATTTCTACGAATCCGACGCTATATTATGCTGGCCACGCATATATAGGACTGGTATGGACAAAAATTGGAATTTTGACCCAAGACCGGAAAATTACCAAAATGCCCCTATGCCCTATTTTTTCCTATTCCGAATTTGGACTGATATTTTTTGTGGATTAATTAAAGGAATTATTCAAACATTTAGTCATCCCAATAATTGAGATTTCCTTGTACCAAATTGCCCTCAATTATTTGGGCAAGGAATAATGAGGGCTAAGTAAATAAGGGTAAATTAGGAATATGGAAAAATAAGTCAAAGTTATAATTAGTTTTGACTCTCTCTTGGTTTGTTCACGAAGCCATTCTGTCTTCTTCCCCTCTCCATTCGACCAGACCACTTCTCCATTTTTTTTCCTCCTTGCTCGGCCGAGAATCACCGCCGAAGGAGGTGCCGCCGCACGCCGCCGCTCGTCCGGCCACCGCAGCACCACCGTCCCGCCACACCGTCCTCACCATCATCACCACCTCATTCTCCCTTTCTTTCCCCTTTCCTTTTCAACCGTACGAGCGCGCCACCGTTAGACCGCCGTGGACCGCGCGCCGTCGCCGGGAAGCCGCGCCAAGCGCCGCCGTGTCGCCCACCGTGCACCACCACCCCCAGCCATCATCCTCAGCCCTTTCGACCTCCCTCACCCTCCTTTCCCGCCATCCTCAGCTGCTATTTCAGTCTAGGCCGAGAGGACCACCGCCGGACACCGCCATCCGCCGTCGCCGTCCGTACGCCGCCGGCTTGTCCCCCGGAACGCCGCCGCCGATCTCACCTCGTGTCGGTGATTGGCCGCCCGTTTCCGTCGACTCGAGTCGATTAGGCGAGTATTAATCACTAAACCCGAACTAGATTAATTTGCAATTTATGCGGGTAAATTAGGGGTTAATTAGGCTTGATTATTGTCTAATTAAGGTTTAATGTGTGTTGGGTGATTAGGGGGTACAATTGGAACTTAATTGAGTGATTTAGGTGTGGATTAGTGCCCAAAATGTGTGCTGCCCTGGTACTGTTCACACAGAACCCAAAATGCAATATTTGCCTAAGTTGAGGAATAATTGGTTTAATGTTATGGTTGATTGAATTGGACGATCCAATGACTAATTAAGGCTTGATTGAATTAAATTGTTAGTGCCTTAATTGTGAAACTAATGGCTGAGTTTGTTTGGTCGTGACGGGTCCTAAATGGATCAAATTTTGTAACATTAAGTTGTGCATTAAGTGCCGGATGTAAATGGGCTAAAATGGATTGAATTGGGCGTGCCGACAATGTGTTGAATTGGTCGAATGGTGAATAATCTTACTTGGCACATATTGGCATTAATGATTAACTTGGGTCCCATTTCACGTGATTCCGTTGTTTGTATTTTGATATGGCTGGAATTGCGAGTGCGAAAATGCACGTACCTTATGTGATTTAATTGTGGCCTTCGGGCCGTGCCTATGGATCGATTTATTACTGAAAATGGCCTTCGGGTCGGGCCTTCGGGTCGGTATATTTGTTGGCCTTCGGGTCGGAATAATTGTTGGCCTTTAGGTCGTGGCCTTTGGGTCGGAATATTTGTTGGCCTTCTGGTCGGAATAATTGTTTGATTCATGAAAATGGCAAGCGTGTGCCGAGATCATTATTCGTATGTGTGTTCAATAGTTTGCACGTGAATATTGATAACAAATGCCTAACCTGCAGGGCTGTGGTATAAATGATTTGAGCCACGAGCCTAGGGCAATTATTTTGATTTGATGGTACATTGTTTTGTGTGTTTAATTTGCCTGACTGGAGGTGCATGTTAGCCTAGTTTAGGTTTAGGGGTTATTTACTTGCTGAGATTCATCTCACGGTTGTTGGAAATCGACTTTTCAGATCCCCGGCAGTGAGGATGGCAGAGGCGCCAATCCGTTTTGGGATTCCTCAGTTCATCGAGAAGACTGTGTCTATGCATGTCGTAGCTTTTTGACCAAGCCCCGCCTTAGTCTAGTATCCCCGGGCCACCATCCTTTTTGTCAATGGCCGTTGCTCAGTTTGTCTTCTAGTTGCTTTTCTTGTAATGGATATTGTATAAATTTCTGCAGTAATGTAAAATGTTTTAATTCCTGCTAAATTCCAGTGATATGTTATCCTTGGTTGTCTTGTATATTGTACGGGTGTATATAATATATATATATACGTTGCTTCTGCATGTGCATTGGTCTCTGTGCGTTGGATGCTGGGTCGGTGACGTTACCTGGGGACGTCGCACCATTACGATCTTAGGTGAGATGCGCGCTTCGTGGGGTACGGGGCGTGACAGGTTGTGATAAATTATGGTCAATAACATGATGGCCCCATTTGTTCATGTAGTCAACAGCTAGATCGCATGAGCTATCCCATTTGCTATGATGTTACCAATCATCAGCTTCTCTCGTGACGCCAAGGACAATTGCAATTGTTGCCAGAATTGCCTGCACATGGATATTTAAGGAATTTTAAATTTTTTTCTGTCGTAAAATGAATTGAACATGTATATATAAGAGAGAGATGTAGAGAAAAGCAGGTCAGGCTCATAAATGAGGTTTAGAGATGTGTAAGATCGTGAAAGATCTAGATGCAGGAATGTGCAGGACGAACTTTTTCCCTACTCAAGAAAAACCATATAGCAAAGCATCTACTTTGCAGTTCCTGAAGTTCCATATCAACGGGGGACATGGATTTCATTTTGGAGGGTAAACTAACAAAGGCATTGTCAGGAATAAGAAGTTATTAGAGGGCCAGACATAGATAAGCTGGAAGACAGTCAAGGCTTCCTCAGTCAAGATGTTACATGGTATATTTGGGACAGAAAGAACCAAATATACAGTTGCACGTGAGCTAAGTTTTTGGACTAGGGAGAGAAGTCAATAATTTATGTGATGGATTACCGAACTGCTCTTTTGGAAGAGGTACTTACTAAGATGAATGACAATATTAATTCTACAGAGTACAGTATTGGCAGACAAGTATACATGCAAGTACGCACACCCGAGTGCATGAGCACGCAACAGAGGGCGGGGGCGTGAACATATGCAATACCTGGAAGAAACAAACAAGCAAATGTAGCTAGCTTTGTGACAGAAGACATAGAGAGACTCACAGCGATTGTACAAGCAATATATCCAGGCTTTTCCCGGTAGTCTATCCTTCCGCAGAGAAGAATAAGTAGGCCAATGTACCAAGGGATGGCACCAAGGAAGAAGCCAATGGTAAACCTTTGACAAAGCAGACATCCCTAATTAGCTGATGATCATAAAAAGATCGAAATTTTCATGAATACAAGCCTCAGATTTCATTAAAGAACCATCATATGGTATTTCTCTGGTCTCAAACTTAAAGGCCAGGTACCAATAAGCATCACAAAAGATAAAGATGTTGAACTCATGAAGCATAAGAATCTGCTACATCCAGTGTGACATCCCGAATTTCGGCCCATTTTTGGGATTTATAAAACGCGTAAATTGTCAGTGTGCTTATAGTAAAATCTCGCCTGGGAACTGATCACTCCCGGTTATCATTTTAAATTAGAGATTTCGCTAGAATCGCACTCGATCAAATTTGGTCGTTATTTGGATCCCGAACTTGACAGTCGATTTCCGGGAGTTTCGGGACAAATAAATTGGACGGTGTCAATATTATGGTAACCAATGTTGAGATTGTCAGGAATGATGGAAAAAGGGGAGTTTTTGACCACGTGCGAATTTGGACTAGTAGACCTCCCCCATTATAATTTGGTCTAATTAATTTAGCCTTTGTCCCTTTTTATGTGCGAGGCTTATTTTGGACCGGTAGACCATTTTCGATTTTTAATTTGGGCCATCGAATTGCAAATAATATTTGAATGTTCAAATATTTTCTTTTATTTCCTCTCTCTCTCCCTCTGACCCCGCGCGCGTCTCCCCCCCCCCTCTGCAGACGTCCCCTCTAACACCCACCCCCACCTACCCTCTCTCTCTCTTCTTTTCTTTTCTTTCTTTCTTTTTCCTTTCTTCCTCTGTTCTTCTTCTTCTTCCTCCTTCTTCGCCCGCGACTGGTTCTGCTCCGTTCTGCCCAGTCGCCGTCCGCCGCTCGGCCGCCCTCCGCCTCCGCCCGACGCTGCTCCGCCAGTCGCCGCCGTCGCGTTGACCACCAGCCGCCGCCCCGACCGTTCCCTTTCTCTCCCTCACGCGCGCGTGACAGCAAGCCGTCGCCGCTGCCCTCCGCCTCAGCCTGGCCGCCGCGTGCCGCGCCGTCGCCGGCCAGCTCGACCGTGCGTCGCGCCGACCGTGGGCCGCCGTCCCCCTCTCCTCAGCCGGCAGCCCTTCCACCCACAACCATCACTCCCCCTCTCTTTCTCTTGTTTGGCCGTGGGGAGCACCTCACCGGAGGAGCCGTCGCCGCCGCCGGTGCCGTCGCCGGGAACCACCACCCCACGCCTCACCAGCCTCACCAGTCCGTCCTCTCTCTCTCCCGACCGCCGCGACCAGCCACCCCTCCGCCTAGGCTCGCGCCGTTCGCCGGAACCGCCGCTGCCGTTACTGTTCCAGCGAGGCGTCGCCGCTGTCCAGCCGCCATTGCCGCGTGTTCGGCTCGGTTTGAAGCTTAGGACACCCGGTGAGTTTGACCCTAAACCCTAATTAGGATTATTTGCATTTCTAGACAAGTTTAGGGGTTAAATTAGGGTAATTTAGGGGTTATTGTGCAAAGGATGGTAGGGGTTGATGTCACGGCTGATTTGGTGAATTATAGTGACCGTTTGATGAGGTTTCGCGGCTATGTAAGTGCCGAGAGATGGCTGGTCAGGTTTGGAATGGAATAGCCCAAGTTTGGGGAAGTTCGAGTCTAGAATGCGGATTCTAGTGCGCGCCTTAATTGGCATTATGGTGGTTGATTAAAATGGTATCTTGGGGAGTCTAATGGGACATTTTGAGGTTATTAAATGGCCCGGCACGATCGATTTAGTGGCTGTCCATATCGGGTTTGAATCGGACAAGGCGCGATCAATTTGGGGGTTAGTTTGTGTAGGCCGAGTAGTAGTTGTTTTTCGTAGTAAATTGGGGAGCCTAATGTGATGAATTGAAAGTGAATTGAGCGCCTAAGACGGACCGTTCATGGCTGGTTTAGTATCGGGAGGATTCGGGCCATAATTGTTTATTCGAGATTTTAGGGTGAACGGCTTAGGAAACAATGATCACCCGAGACGATGCTAAATTAAACGTGACTTGAATGTGATTGTATGATGCCATGTCGCATGTCTAGCGGTACTAAGAATGGAATAGCTTGGCGGGCCTTGGGCTTATTGAATTGAATTGGAGTAAATGTGAGGAATAAGTGCCGGTTTATTTGGGGCAAAAATGGAGTAGATTGTACATGCCGTTAATGCCTTGAAATTGTCAAATTTGTGAATAATTGTGTCTGGCATCTTGGCCTGGGAAATTGACTTTGGATTCTCGGGCATATGAATCGCATATCATGCCTTGCCATTAGCCGAAACTGAGTGCATTGGTATACATGACGGGCCAGTTTATAAACTGTGGCCTTCGGGTCGGGCCTTCGGGTCGGAATAAACTGTGGCCTTCGGGTCGGGCCTTCGGGTCGAGATAAACTGTGGCCTTCGGGTCGGGCCTTCGGGTCGGAATAAACCGTGGCCTTCGGGTCGGGCTTTCGGGTCGAGATAAACTGTGGCCTTCGGGTCGGAATAAACTGTGGCCTTCGAGTCGGGCCTTCAGGTCGGGATAAACTGTGGCCTTCGGGTCGGGCCTTCGGGTCGGGACAAACTGTGGCCTTCGGGTCGGCTTAACTGTTGTTGGCCTCAGGGTCGTGGCCTTCGGGTCGATTTACTCGCATATGTTTTATAATGATATTAAAAGTCTAACCTGCATGGCGGAGTAGTGAATTGGGCTATGGGCCCGGGTAAACTTATATTGATTGTTATACTGGTTCAGTGATTTATGTGTTTTATTTACCCTCTGGAGGTGCACGTTAGCCTAGTTTAGGTTTAGGGAATTACTCACTGAGATTATTCTCATGTGTGTTTAAACCACATTTTCAGACCCCAGCCTTGAGGATGGCAGGCGTACCGAAGTGTTTTGGGAGGAGCCCCGGCTAGTTGTAGTGGCCTTGAACTGCTTTTGATTTTTGAGCATGGGCTGTAGTTGAATATTGTGTCTGGTGCCCAGTATCAACGCAAGTGTAATTATTCATGTTGTTTGCTGAGTGGCTATCCTTGGCCATTTGTTTCAAAACTGTTCGGGCATTGTATTGCTTCCGCGTGTGCTTTAATCTCTGTGTTGGGCGTTGGGTCGGCGACGTGTCCTGGGACGTCGCACTTGTAATGGACCTTGGAGGGATGTTCGCACATCGTAGGATTCGGGGCGTGACATCCAGGCTCAAGAACTGTCATGCAGTCCTTGTAGTCATAGACATTGCTGACTTCATCTTGTTTTGCAATTGACTATGTGCTCACCAAAACATGAAATCCAACCCACGAGTAAAGAAAAGAACTTACAGGAACCATCCAACTCCAATACCACAGCAAGGCATCCGTGATTCTCTTACTGGTCTTCCTTCAGCAACAGCATAACCTGAAAAAAGTTGCTGAGAAATGAAATTCCCCCAAAAAAAGGTTGCAAAGCATACAGAGCGAAGATCATAAATCTTTTTTGATTCATCAGGGCAATCGGTAAAATCATGAATATGGGCGTACTTAGTCCTCATTGTTCCAGTAAGTTATCTATTCAAGAAAGGTGGAAAGAGGACTAAGGAGAAAAGGCTATAGAGACACATTCTCCAATTTTCAAGTCCTACAGAATCTTTTCAAGCTATAGTGAAGTAAACCCAGTTGGTCACTGTATTTACCGGTTAAAATTACTTATCTTCCTCTTTAGCTGTGCAGCTATGATTGTGCTGCTTCTATCTAGATGTAATGCACCAACTGGAAACGCAACAGAACATTCACGACTTCATAATAAGATATCGCATGACCTAGAGCATACTATGATCAGCATAGTAGCAAGGTGAACATATAAGCCGAGCCATATTTATAATGAGTAGACATCATTTTACTCAAGACTCCACTGGGTACACACTTTATCTGACTTAACTCAAACCCCGAGAACCGTGGAACAACACATCAGGCAAAACATATGATTCTCTGTATGAGCATGATTGACCCCTAAAGAAGCCACATTCAAAGCTAGTCAACCAAAATGAGGATAAACGCGCTGGTCCAATTAATTTCACTTAATTTCAACACCTTCATGAACTCCTCTTCCCGCACCCCATACATCCAATGTCTCAAAGATGAGGATGCTAAACCTTTCGCCAAGAAACTAAACCCACTGGATAAACTAAATCAATTAAAACATCATTCCATGCCAAAATGAATCAGCAAAGGCGAACATATTGGCAGTTCATAAAACAAAATCAGAATCCCAAGATTCCTAGAAACATTCCATCATGATCACACAGAAATTCCAATGCACCGCGACCAAATTCCAGGACCAACGAAAATAAGATCCCTGTATCAAACTTTCACCGACACCCCTTTCAAAACTTTACATGCTAAAGTTAACTCTGCTTGCAAGCGATTCTAAAAGGAGCGACTTTGTACCCGGAACGGTGTGATGCCCATGATGGTAATAGTGAGGAGGAGGAGAAGAAATCGAGAACTCGACATCCAAGCAAACTAGTGTCTTCTATCCGAAGCAAGCACATAAATTGCAAAGAGAACTACATAGGAATCTTTTTTTCCTTTTATGTGGATTTAGATTTAATTTTCGTAGCCAGCCTTACCAAAATAATGAGTTTGTCCAATTATTAGCCGAAGCAATTGTCTATTTTGTGACTTGTAATTAAGGTTGTTTGTTGAAAACTTGAAAGTTACGTTACGTTATACATACTGTTGAGTAAATTTCCTAAACAGATTTTGAAGTTGACAAAACTATCCATAATAATCTTGTAAATCTGATATGTACTCTGAAGTATTTTGATCCAGGTGTATATACTCTGGAAGTAGCAACTTTAATACTTCAAGAGAGCTTAACCTTCTGGATACTCAGACTTTACGAGGTTCAGAAGGAAATCTTCAGACTCTACAAGGTTGAGAACAAGAAGTTCAGACTCTACTGAAATATACACTCAGTCTTTTTCTTAAGGTGTCAGAGATCTTCAAACTCTAATTTTGAAGGACTCATTCTAAACTAAAGACCTACGCTGACTTTGTTTCTGAACGAAAAGCAAGAACCAGAAATTCTTCAGACTCAAAATTTTTCAGAACAAAACATAACAGCTAGTGATCTGGCGTGAATTTCACAAAATGAAAGTTTTGATTGACTCAATCTCAGCCTAATTGATTGACAATCAAACTTTATGACAAGTATATACCACAACGGATAAAACTCTACTTATGGAAACCAAGATTATGGTTATATGGGCGATCAGATTCAGTGGGATTCGGATTTTGTCAACCAACGGCTACTCAATCCATTTTATACAAATCTGTCCAAGGTGAAGATTGGAAGATGATCCTCTGAAGACTGTCCAACGGCTAGTTTTGAAGTGGAGGAGTATAAAAGGAGACTAATGAGGAGCAGAAGGGAAAAGAACGAAATCAAGAATCAACAATCCAAAGTCTAAGCTTATTCCAATTCTACTACTTGTCTTTCCTGAGCTAAATACTGAGATTTTGAGAGATACTCTGTAAAAGTGATTGTGTGAAATAGAGAGTTCTATCATTCACCGAGTGATATCACTCAAATCTTATAATTCCTTTGATCACATAGTGGAATCTAGCCAGTACGTTGTCAGCGTGAGAGAGTGGATGTAGGCTTGATCTAAGCCGAACCACTATAATTTCTTTTGTGCAATTCTCTCTATCCCTAATCTCATTATATTGTTTACACTGCATACTAGCACATTCAGAATCTGAACATTATTCAGACTTTACTGATCATTATTTATTTCAACGTTAAATTCATTAAAATCGTTCGAATCACCTATTCACCCCCCCCTCTAGGTGATACCTACTAGCTACAACACATACCATTAGTATAATAAATGACAAACTCCCTGTTACCAAAACATAACAATCTTTTTTCTTATTAATGTTCAACAAAATGTTAGGGTGCTTAAATGGATCCACTAACTTAAAAAGTCACTTATCATTTGCCGTGTAACATAAATCTATTTACTATATGAGTTTTGGTATCTCTACCATTACTCGGTCACAAAACATGGTCGAATTGTGACCATTCAAAATTAACAAGCTTTCTCAAGGGTGTTAACAAAATCCTTTTTTTGAGATGGCTCACCAAATGGATATGAAACATGAAATGGAGTGAGATTAGCGCTGACGCATGATTTTTGTCTTGTGGCGGGCAAGAGAGGGGTCGCATCGAGTGAGTTATCTAGAACATTGACCGCTGTCCCCCCAAACGTCATCATGTACGTTTTATGTGCTATCTGATTAAGATCATGCGACATCATGAATCCACGGCAGTGCACGCGATGGCATTATGGCATAGATTGTTGAGCCCCACCAGCAAAAATGGCGGACGTAGTTAGATGACACTTTTTAAGAAGTGGTTTGACGACACCTTATCACCTAATGTTTGCCTTCCGGAAGAATGTCTGTTCGATTAGGATTGAATCTCATTACATGTCAAGCAAGTTATTCTAGAATCCTTAAGTAGTGCAGGACCGTGACTTTCATGGCATTGCCAAAATACTCCCCCAAAATTGATGCACACTAGCACATCCCCAAGACCATAACTTGATAGATTAAGTCTCAAGTAGCATATTGTGAAAAGCTTGCCAACAATTAATAAACATAACTCTGTATAAGGGAAGAAAAAAGATATCATTCAATCCTATTTTTTCAGCTATTATAAAATGATATTTTATTTTGATTTATAGCACATAAAATGATCGGATTTAATATTCATTACTTAATTTTTAATGGCTTAAATTTCAATTGTACCATATAGATTCTAAGTTTTCAGTAAATTCGAGCTCAATGTGGCTCAATGCCCCAAAAACTCTTAGAGCCGAAGTTTCAATATCTAGTAACACATTTTTAAAAGCCCTTGAGTCAAAATTTTGCTTTGAATATGCTCAAAACTCAAGGCAACCGTCTTATTTTGGGATTGGGATTTTTAAGAAAAGCAACTTTCATAAATTAATAAACTTCATCTCCGGTTTACCTAGAAAATTTTCATAATCCTCATATCATTATTGTCTTTTTCTTCAACTTGCAGAAAAGTCCACAGGGAGAGAGGGCAGTGGTGGCGAGGTCCCAACCACCACACTGGCAAGACCAACCTGGAGTCACCTGACCCCGGCACCGCCGAGCTAGAGTCTTACAACCCCAAGTGAGCCTCTCGTCGATGGTTACACGAGGTAGATACTGCCTAGGTCGCTGACTAGGCGAGCCTTGTCGGGGCACCCCAGGCGAAGTCTTGTGGGGGTGCCGACCACCCCAGGTGAGTGGCTAGTAGGGGGTACGCGACCTAGCCTCACCTAGGTTGAGCAACTCATGACAGGCCTCGCTGAGTGTCGCCCAATCCTTGCGCTACCTCACCGGGGATCACGTTGCCCCCATGCCTGGTGGCGGAAAGAGACTACTTCTCTAATTTTTTCAATTTTTCTTTAATGCCGTCTTCACTCAAAAGAAAGCACCATCGGATTCCCTTGCCCTCTCTCCCTTTCCATATAGTTTCCCTGCCAACTTCAACGGCAAGACATGACGCACCCGTGGGAACATGATATATAGGTAGTGCTTGGGATGACATATAAGAATTTGTGTACCAGGTAGATGTAGGAATCAAATGGGGTAGACCTGGGGAAGCACTTTCAAAGGCGTACGGGGGAAAGCGCCTCACCCTCACTTGCGGGAAATCGACTAACAGATGACCTTATTGCTCAGCATTCCTCAGCAGGCGTCCCCTCAGAAGGAAGAGTAGGCAATGAATAGAAGGATTATACCCACTTAAGAGGAGAGTGCCCCCTCTTTTTTCGTGCAAAGACCAGATTGAGTGCACTTCAGATGTTAGAGCTTGTGATGGCCTCCTCTACAAAATATACTCATCAAAAGGAAAGCTGCTCCTACCTAATAGCAAGGCGGCCAGAGAGTACGTAGCTGAACAAGCGCAGGAGCTTATGGCAATTATAGTTTAACTAACTAGATGGGCCGCGGATAGAAAGT